CACACCTTCCAGCAGAGTACCATTTTCCCTCGATCGAGCTACCAATGGGCAGGCGATTAGATCTCTCGGACCAGATACACGGCCGATCACATGTTTCAATCGATGAAACAGCGGTGATCGTAGCTAGGAACGGCGGAACACGCGATGGAGGAGCTATTTATTCAATAATTGCTTGGTATGACGCGGAGACACGTGCAATAAAGAAACCTTCGACGTTAATTTTAAGATTCGCGACGAAGCTGAAATCGAATCGACTTGGAATTAAATGCCCTTCGACGGTTGTGGCGTCTTCCCTCGATGTCCCTGCGATTAATCGGAATTTAAGCTGGAACAAAAATTGATAGATATATTAGTAACATGTCAAAACAAAATTTAATAAACACCATGGAATCCATCAGAGTACTGAGTAAGTAGTGAAGTGATTTGTTGCGTTGATGTATCGAAGAGGATTGTTGAACAGATGAGAATTTAGAAGTTGGGGGAACAACGAAATTTAGAAATATTCATACCCAAAGAAATTTACAAAATTGCCATATGACAAGACAGCCAAAATGGAAATTAATTTTAGAGAATTTCACAACCAACGTTGAATGAAAAATCCCAGTAAATCAAAAAATGATGTCGATGTATTTAGTCAAAGAGTCAACAAATTTTAAGCAACGAGACATATCTCATTAGGTCAAATTTCAATTATTAGATATCTAGTAAAATTGTGAGAACAATTTCCCAGATAATGCCAAAATAAAAATACCAGATATTCAACAAAGTATCGCAGCAAAACGAAAACTTGAACGATAACCCAAGAATGAAAATTTCATTCCAACCAGTATCATGATAATTTAATAATTGTTGTAGAAACAAATATGGTAATGAATCAACGCGATATTTCATTACCATTGTCACATAATATTATACATATCAAATCAATCATACCGATTCGCGAAGTAATATACAAGTAGGAAGAGAAAAAGAAACATACATAATGGTGAAATAAAACCGAATAGACGGACAAATAATCAAATAATATATGGTAAATGAGTGGAGTGGACTTACTACTTGTTGACACATAGTTACAAGTGGCATTTCAGTAGTGGTCAGTTCTGGTCAGTTCAGGTCAGTTCTGGTCAGTAGTGGTCAGTTCAGGTCAGGAGTGGTCAGTTCAGGTCAGCAGTGGTCAGTTCAGGTCAGCAGTGGTCAGTAGTGGTCAGCGGAGGTCGCCAGTGGTGCGCGGTAGCCGGGAACCCCCGAGCGGTTCAGTTACGGCCATGCGTAGGCCCCCGAAGTCGCGACGAGACTGAAGAATTCTTCCGCAGTGACCCTAGATAAGACAATGGAGGAGTGGGGAGAGTCACGCTAGAAGTCAAAGTCAAAGCTAACGGTTAACATTGTTTGCAGATGAGCTATTTCGGTTTTTCCTATTTTTTGGCATTTCCTTGGTCTTCCTTGGATCACTGACCTAGATCTCAACCTCATATTTGACCATCTGACCATAGTCCAACCATTGTTGACCATCGACTAACCATTGACCCATTAAAACCATCACGAAGTCCAAGATTAAAGCCTTCTTACAAAGATCCCCTTACATTTTTATGCACGATCTTTTTAACATTTTATTCCACTTTGAGAGAGTGTATCTCAAGACTAGGAAATAGAAGAATAAATGTTAAAATGAGTTAACTAAACTTGTGATATTATACCAGCCAGTTTCGAAAATGTGGTTGCATGGTTTTCACCAATGCACAAAAGAATGTTAATAAACTTTAATAACAATAATTACCGCGACAGAATCTGTAAATAATATATATTCTAAATCAATAGAATAAATTTCGTGTAAAGAACGTACAATTAAAACGACACATCCACTCATTATACATTTCAAGTACAACAATCACTTTCAAGGTTATCGTGTTAGTATCACCGAATCGACGAATCCCAATCACAAATTCTAAACATGTTTGCCGAATCGATTTTGTTAAATGTTTGCAAAGCGCTTTCGGATTTTCACCTTTCAATATCGAACAATTAGCGAGCGCACCAATCGGTGCTCGTTAATGATTTTTTTTTTTATTCAAACGAGGACGGAATTTCTGGTACCTAGCGTACAGACGGACGCATTAATGCACGGCAGTAAATTAACAATCGGGCGAATTTCTCCGAGCCGAATGCAAATGGAAGAGCACGCGTGTATTTCAGTTTTGCCTGTAGCGGATGCCTCGCGCGATCAGTGCAGGATTTATGCAAGATTTCTATCGATATATGCGCGGACACATCCGAGCTTAGTGTCGTTCAGTAACTACCGAACTGACACGAGAAGCAGACTAGAGGCGATTGAATCGATGGACACTCGTCAATAGTCTCTTGACAAAGAAAAATCTACTTGTACATCAAAATACTATTCACTTAAATAAAATACGAATAATGGTAGAGAACTAACAGGTAACAATCTCAAAATTCCTATTATGTTACTTAATTGCTTGAATAATATTCTTAACATTATAATTGTCTTACTCTAACATACTCTTTAACTCTTTGATGGTCACATGTGTCACACGTGGTCTCTTATTTACGATTTCTTTCTTGATTTACAAGTCTTTTCTAAGATTATATAAATAATAATGATAACAGGATTCCTCCATTTCATTTGTTACCGAGTTTGAAACCCATTAGCGAGGACACCAATCAACAAAAAAGAATAAAAATCTTTTATAAGTAATAGATGAAGCGTTAAAGTAGTTGATACAATTTATTCTACTCATACGGAACACGTGTCCCCTCTGTCTCTTCCTTGTTCCTTTAAACAAAACGAAAGAAATACAAACTTCAACCGCGACTCGAGAAGCCCGAATTCGACTTAAAATCACAAAGACGGTGAATTTTTAGTATTTTATCCTTTCGTACGGAACGTATGGATTCCGATATGGGTGCCATAATTCCCCAGAACGCAGGCATATTTCTATTTATACCATCGGTAACTTTTTTTGTCATAGCAGAGCGCTTATTTCCGTCGATCGCGAGAAGTTTGCTTTTGTTCTCGTATCTGAAATACCGTGTAACCTTGCGAAGGGGAATACATTTATGTGTATCGTCTTGGAAACTGGCGACGGAGTCGCGTGTGCTAGCTGCTGATAAGGCCATTCTATCCGCCGACACCCGAAGGAGTTTCATTCCGCCCGTAGGAAAGTGAAAAACTTTTCCCACTGCGATACACTCGTTCCCCAACTTCGCGACCGTTCTCATAGTAATTCGATTTTCCGCGTCTATTACGCTAACGACGTGGTCGTTGGTGTTTCGCGCGGGAATCTTTCTTTCGGGACCGGCGCCACGTTAACGTTTTGTTTCTCGGATCAAAGGAGGATAAGACAAAGCCACGATTCGCGTTTGGTCTCGGCTTAACGGGGTGATTTATGGCGGTGACGTCCGGAAACTTTTATTATCGCCGCCATCGGGACCCATTCCGTTCGCGTTTCGTTCCCTTATCGTGTACGAGTTTCAGCTGTTTACCTCGTTGAACGATGTTAACTGGCATCTGTAAAACGTTTGACTCAATATTATAACGTGGACGATACTTTTAAGGTCTTCGAGCAATCTTTGCGAAAACTGTGCTTCGGATTGTGTTTCGGCGATCTTCTTGAGCAATCGAGATTATATCGACATCTTTTTAACTTTGGAACGCGAAGACGAGAAAAGTTGTGCAAAACTGCAAACTTTAACCTTCTTTGAGTCTTCTCACTTTCAAATTATAAATTATAAATGGTACAAAGTGTCCTTAGAAGTTATGTACAGGAGGGAAAGGAAGGAAAGGGGAAACGATTAGATCCTAAGATATTGAGAAGCGTGTAGGGATAGGTGGCACTTTCGAGAAAAAATTCTTTACTGAAAATACAATGTCTGACCATACATGGGATTTTTCCCTGAAATTCAGCGAAATTGAAAAGCTTCAAATCGTTCTAAAAAAATTATTCTCAGGTGCGGGGGTCGATTACAGTTATTTTTGTTGAATAGACATACCCTCGAAATCCTACACACTTCCGAGAAAAAAATTCGTATAGGTGTGAAATTTTTCGTCAAAATTAAAAAATTTCAAATCGTTCTAGAAAAATTATATTTAGTTCCAATGGTCAATTACAATCATTTTTGGTCAATAGACATACCCCCGAAATCCTACCCATTTTCAAGAAAAAAATTCGAGTAGGTGTGAAATTTGTCGACAAAATTAAAAAATTTCAAATCGTTCTAGAAAAATTATTTTTAGTTGCAGGGGTCTATTACAATGAATTTTGATCGATAGGCATACCCCCGAAATCCTATCCATTTTCGAGAAAAAAATTCGAGTAGGTGTGAAATTTTTCGACAAAATTAAAAAATTTCAAATCGTTCTAAAAAAATTATTGTTAGTCGCAGGGGTCAATTACAATTATTTTTGGTCAATAGATATACCTCCGAAATCCTACTCATTTACAAGACAAAAATTCGAGAAGGTATGAAATTTTTCGACAAAATTACAAAATCTCTAATCGTTCTAAGAAAATTATATTTAGTTCCAACGGGCAATTGCAATCATTTTTGGTCAATAGACATACCCCCGAAATCCTACCCACTTTCGAGGAAAAAATTCGGATAGATGGACATATTTATCGACAAAATTAAAAAATTTCAAATCGTTCTAGGAAAATTATTTTAAGTAAATATTTTCTATAAATTGCAATATTATAATTAAAGCAGAGATGAGGATCTCAATTTACAGATGGAAGTGATATTCTTGTCTTCGGAATTCACGAGTTTATATTTTACCAAAATTGTTCTAACAGTAGAAGATAGAGAGATCGAATAATGAATTAATCGAGTTTCCCACGGATGCGGCCATTCGTATAACTAAGCATATCGTTCATTAATTGTAAGGAGGATGGCAGTAAATTTGCGGTCAAGTTTAATTACGTCGTTGTATCTCGGTAATAAAGCTTAGACAGACTAACGTGTAATCTCGTTCTAAATTGTTTCAGGTGGTAAGCCGTTTCCTGGTCTGGAAAACCTGCCGAAGTCGTTCTGGCATGAGCTCAGTTCGCCTTTTACCGAGGTAAGTCGGCTGCATAATTGGAACGAGCAGTTAAAATGTCTTTTTGAAAAAGCTACTGCCACACTTTTCACACCGTTTCTCTCGTCGTGCCGTACAATGCAGTTATCACCCAATAACAGTGCAAGGTTGAAAAACTTCAAAGATTTCTCGAACCCTAACATGACTTTCGTATAATAAATTTGTATAATAAAGTTTCGTCCTGAAAAGTAACGTGTTGGACGATTAGTGTTACGTTGGAAAGGAGTTACTAATCTATTTTATTTCATTCATTACTGAGTTTACTTTCCAATTTAAAAACTGCACTCGTCCTATTGATTATGCAGAGTATAATAGTTGCTAATTTCAATCTTTATAGCAATTTATTTGATTAAGTTTGTCGAATTTTTATTTCCCTATTCGTTCAGATATATATTTTAAATCTACCTAAGAAATGTTTTTCTTTCTATTTTTTAAAATACAATACTTGTATCTTTAAACGATTAAATAAAAATTAAATACAAAAATAAATGTTTCTAAAAATCTTTTATATTTCACGTGGAATTGAATCTCTAATTTTACGACGATTGAAGTAACGATTTCAAGAGCACTGTTCTGTAAGAATAGCTATGTTTCTTTTCTTTAAAAACAGTCTCTGAGCTACAAATTATCGCGAACATTTTATATAAAGAAAAAGGATCACAAAATTATCTTGTCTGCTAAGAAATTCACGATAAAATTCAATTTAAATAATTCCATGAAACAGCGAAAATAATTTGGAACGTAGCTCCTGAATGACAAATTTTTTAATAATCAGAAATTGTACATTGGCGTCGACGGGGGAAAGGAAAGAGAAATTTCTGCTCCGTAACGTATTCTTCGTTCGGATTACAGGTATACGAGGTGGAAAGTTTCGCGACAGATACTGGCGGCACTCCCGAGCCCAGGCCCTTTTTCGAAGATCCAGAGAGCAACATTACCGTGCAACTTGGCGCTGAAGTATATATGCACTGTAGAGTACAAAACCTGCAGGATACTTTTAAGGTAAATTCTCGTTTCTCTTCTTTTCCAAATGTTCCGCGAGCAACGACGCACGTTTCTCTCGGCTCCAGCGTAGAAACTAGCGGTGTTGGTCGAATAATCTCGAAATCTATTCCATCCATCACGTTCCTTGACACTAGAACAACCGAACTTATCGAAATTCATCATTTCTAATACAAAATTGCACAAAATTCACTCGACTGGACTTTTGTAAATTTTACTAGAAGACAATTAATAAGCATTTATTCTCGTTATATTATAAATACGCCATAATTGTCGGTAGTTTTAGTATTAGCGGATGTGTTATAGCAATGCCTCCAAAGCAACAAAGTAATCGATGAATTGAGAAAACAGGCCTTTCCCTTTCCCTGTCGATTAATCTTTAGAATTTCTCTTTCAGAAATCTACGATTGTTTGTAATAGCGTGTGTTCCTTCCTAAATGAATGTAATCTATCGATCAAGGAAACCTTTCTTTCATATAACGTAGAAATTACTGTAAATTATGTCGCAGAACAAACTCCATTGAAGGTAACGATGATATATCTCTTTGTAACAGAGTTATTGAGACACTCTGTTTCATAGTATCGCATTTATATTACAGCGAGTGACCTCGATCGAAGGTTTTCTTTCACGTTTTTTTTTTTACCACTATGTGAAACTGGTAATTTAGTCCAGATACCGATAGGTTCAACGGGTAAGGGTGTAGCTAGCGATGAGTAGATTCGTATCAAATGACCCATACCAGGACCATTACGCCTGACTCTTTCGATAAATCTTTGTGGCCGTTCTGCGCTTCATATTTCCTTTTTATGACAGCCATGTTTTACCACTGCAACGGGCGTCTTTTGTTTTATAACACGGCAGTCCGACACTTTCGGCACGGTTCACCACGTGTTTATTCAGCCCATATCCAAAACGATCCCGCGTTATGAAAAACTGTTACTCGGGTAATATGTTTCGCATGGTTTAATGAAAAAATTCGACCGAACTGTCTGAAATTTTTACGAACTATCAGCACAGGGACGATCTCTGACGGCTTTGTTCGGAGTTTTATCTGTGGTGTGATTTCAGAGTGCTGTTTTTATTGCACAGAGAACGGTTTAGAGCTTATTTAGAGGCACGTGTCCGTGGTTTACTTAATTTTTTAATTCGGTTTTAAGAATAGAAGTTTGAAAAATTACTTATTAAAATTCTAAAAGTCTTCAGTGAAATCTCTTATTACAATCGTTTTCACAATAAACTAGTTAATACTAGTTTCTAGAGGCCAAAATAAGACGAAAATCACGAATATTAATTTCTCGACTGAGGCATCATTAAAAAATTATTAAAAAATTTCAAATCGTTCTGAAAAAATTATTTTTAGTTGCAGGGGTCAATTGCAATCATTTTTGGTCAATAGGCATACCCCCGAAATCCTACCCACTTTTGAGAAAAAAATTCGAGTATATGTGACATTTTTCGACAAAATTGAAAAATTTCAAATCGTTCTGGAAAAATTATTTTTAGTTACAGGGGTTAATTGCAATAATTTTTGGTCAATAGGCATACCCCCGAAATCCTACCCACTTTCGAGAAAAAAATTCGAGTAGATGTGACATTTTTCGACAAAATTAAAAAATTTTAAATCGTTCTGGAAAAATTATTTTTAGTTACAGGGGTTGATTGCAATAATTTTTGGTCAATAGGCATACCCCCGAAATCCTTCCCACTTTCGAGAAAAAAATTAATTACTGAAAATGCCCGACCAGGCGTTGACCTATTCCCCAGAAATTTTACAACGAAATTGAAAAGTTTCAAATCACTCTGGAAAAATTATTTTCGATTGCAGGGGTCAATTGCTATCATTTTTGGCCAATAGGCGTACCATCGAAATCCTAACCATTTTCGAGAAAAAAATTCCAGAAGGCGTGAAATTTTTCAACTGGGGAAAAAAATTTCAAATCGATCTGGAAAAATTATTTTCGATTTCGGGGGTCAATTACAATCATTTTTGGTGAACACACCTACCCCTGAATTCCTATCTACTTTCGAGAAAAAAATTCGATTTGATGGACATATTTATCGACGGGAAAAAAAAATTTCAAATCGTTTTGCAAAAATTATTTTCGGTTACGGGGGTCAATTACAATAATTTTTGGTGAATAGACATACCCCCGAATTCCTACCCACTTTCGAGAAAAAAATTCGAGTAGATGGACATAGAGAATTGCCATTCGCTTTGAAAGGCTCTTTACGTATTTTCGACTAAATAAGTTTATAAAATTATTCAAGTTTGTAGATATTCAATCACCCTTTTTAATAACGCAAGACGAATCGATGAAGTATCGTAATCATACAAGTTTGCAGGGTCGATAGCAATTCAGGCGAAACGGTTGATCGTAGTTAATCTCACGGCATTCGATTCTCGCGTTGTCAGTTCAGAATTGTCTACCTTCCACTCAGTTTCTCGTGCTTCTTTGCACTAAAAGCTTTGCGCCGTTACCGGTATTTTCCAGGAAGAATCTCGTTGCAGTTTTTTCTTTGCTGGGGCGCCTTCGGCCAAGTCTTTTTCTCCGACCGCGGGCACTCTAACCCGTTACTAAGTTCACAACGAAAATTGTGCGCGGCGGTGGCCAAATATTTTCCTCTTAATTTTGTGGCCGTTTGACTAGAAAAGCCTTTAACGGTATAACACGTGCAAAAATGCTCTTTATCGAGGTATACCTAACCGAAAGATAGGTCGAAAGCCACCGGAACTTTCGTTTTATGGTTCTGATCCTTATTTTACGCGAAGTTTAATTAGTTATGTAAGACAGTGGATAGAGTCGAATTTTAAAACTAGGTTATCGTTGAAATTAATGTGCCTTAATATCTTCAGGCCTAATCGTAACATACGCGTTAAATAACAATTTAAATAGAATTTTATAATTTATTATTTCGATACAATTTTACATTCATTTAATTATAAAAGTATGCAATGTTTGACAAAAAGCTATGTTTAATTTGTAGTTTAAATCCCGAAATTTATTAAAAATACATAGGAGTCTAAACAATGAAGTCCAAGAAACATATATTTTACGAAAAAATAATTTCACAGTAGAGTTTCAATGCAGTTATGTTTTATAAACCTAAAAAAATGTTGATTCCGACGAATTGCAATACCGTTATCTTTTACTGAATTTAAAAGCAGGCAATTCGAATGTAACATAAACGTGGTAGATTTTTCTCAGTGCTTTAGCAAAGCTTCAATCAGTTTCTAGGACGCTCTCGGCTTTAATATAGAAAATATGTGTCGCGTTACTTTATCTCGTATTAACATTTTGATAAACTTCCGCGTCTCCTTTTCCCAAGGCTGGAAGGATTGTCGATTATATCCCATCATATCTCGCCTGTTTTTAGGGCGCGAAGATTCAACGGAACGTACTCTTTTGAAGAAATTCGTGAATGTGTTCCAAAGTTCGCATTTACATATGTGTTTAATTAAAAGTACGACATTTTTGTTTAGAAATTCTTTTTACGATTCATCGTGGTCGGTCGAGCTCTTTGACGCGCAAGACTTTTAATATTCGAGAAGTAATGTAAAAATATACTGACATACACGACATAAATTATCTCGTGCCTTCAGTATGATTATTTTATTGAATTATTCGTTGTTAATTCAGTGTATTTTCGCTTTTAAATTAGTAAATTTAACAGTTAGCTGGCAACTTTAATGCAACATTTTTTTGTTTCATATTTGTTAGTGTAAAATTGATTTTTGTGGCGAAGATGTCACAAATTTTTTCTTTGACTGCATATACATTTTTTCTAAGCCCTATTATTCATAATTGACATAGTCCATATGAACTTCTTTTCGATTATAAATTAATTCTGATTTGTTGTGAAATTGTTCTCATTAGGGAATGAGAAATTCTAATACTTAGAACTTAGAATTTAACGCTCCATTCGCATGGCTAGCGAAACATCCGTTTTGCTTTTACGTTCCAATATTTGTCTGTCTTTGACAATTTTCCACAAATAACGCTCGATGTAGGCATAACAGTGACAATTAAACATAATTGTATTTCATTCGCAGAATGTTTCGCGTCGGTTTGTTTCGTTTGGTGGCGAAAAACGGGCAAAATAATCTCTCGCTTTGCAAAAGTGAAATCATAAAGCCAAAACTTTTTGAAAAATAAAATTTTCACGGTTTCATATCGTGGAAATGACATCCTTATAAGCGGTGATTGTTCACCTCGTAATACTAACTGCCATATTGTAGAGCCTTTTGGCTAGTACTCTTATAGCAATGGGGGCTCTAAAACCCCTACTAAAATATAGTGCAGATTCAGAGACTGTGTCAAGTGACCTAAACTGGATCACTAAACGAGTTTGACTCTCTCGATAAATATTCGTGCTCGTTCTCCACTCGATATTTCCTTTTTATAGCGACTGGGCTCTAGCAATACCACAGCGTCTCCTTGCATCATGGCGTTATGGTTCTCACAATAGAATAGCATTTCGGAGTAATAATTTGGTATAACATTTCAGATTGGGTCACAGAAACGATAAACAGAATTTATTGCAACGCGATAGATAAAATCAACGGATGTAACTATTTACGGATTGGAAATTAGGTTTCATATTTATAGAGCTATACCACAGAAGCATTACTTAATCTGTGTTTCATACTTTGTTTCTTCATCGAGCCTTTATCTTTTACTGCCAAGCAACTTAACTTTCACAATTTTATCGAATCAATCATTTTTAAATTACCTTTTTTTTATTCTTGTATTAATAGTTTTTAAATAATACAATTTTTAATTAAATCATCAACCTATATAACATGTACATTTATATAGATCTAAATAGTTTTCTAAAAAGAACCTTTAATATTTCTCTGAACAAGAAACAAGGAAAGAAATATAGCTTATATCTAAAAATCTAGGAATTAAATCTAGCTTATATTTAACGATATCAAGTGTTTGTTAATTTTGTAATATCTAATTAACAATTGATATTCTGAAGAAGATCAAAAGTTTAA